AGTCTGAGAGATTAGAGATTTAAACATATTTACACCTGAGGCCATCTCTGCCCATAGGAGCTTGAATGCAAATAAGGAACAGAGTAAATGCACAAAGTTCTTGAAGTTTTTATGGATTAAGTACTATTTAAACCAAAAACAAGTAAATGACTTGGTTTYATGGCGTATTGCCATCAGGTGATGGTAGAATAAATTAAGACTTATACAGGTCACAACTTGAACACTTTGTTTTTTAATCCAGATCTTTGTATGCTAGGTGATATGGGAGTAGAAGTGGATTCAAGGACCAATTCAAACTACTCTGTACTGTTTGGACATCAAGCCAAGTAAAACCACGTCAAGCAGTGCATTGCAAATATGCAACGACCACTTTTGTGAATAAATTCACAAAAAAAAACATCCTCTTCCTTGTTGGATTCTTTTATTTCTGACAATCTCAAATGCATTAAATATTGTGTGTYTTTTCAGCACAGCATCTACAGCTACACAATGCAGGTGTCACTGCTGCTTTTTCTTTACTCTAAGTCACCAGAGGCTCAATTAGCAGCTGGAGATAAAGTGCTTTTCTATCCTTAAAGCACAACAGACATTTTTTGAACATAGAGCACTTAGACTGGTAGTTTTTGGGACATTACTGCCTGACATWTTGCTTTTTCAACCTATTACACCCAGTTTCATGTTTCATGTATAATTATTTTATGCTTTTCTTGTTTGTGCCTCTGCACATGTTCCTCAACTCTTCCTTTTAACAGATTTTGAACAAAGCCTTAGAAACCACAAAGTATATATTTATTTCAACATCTTGACTTTCTTACGTGTAATAAATGTAAATTTTAGGCACAGTGATGTTTTCCAATGTTTGTGAGTGTGTGTTAGCCAAATATCTCATCAATCACTGGGCAGATTTTGTTTATCAAACTTCCAGTAAGTAGTCTGTTTGGATCTGTGTTTTTGTGTTGTAGCTTTTTGTGTTTGTTGTTTTTAGATTAATTTTTTTATTGTTATCTTGTTGTTCTCTGTGTTTTTAT